CGTCAGGAAAATAAAGTCCTTGTTCCAGTGATCGCATCTTCTTCTTCGGTACCTTGTTAGTGTTAAACTCAATGCTCAAAGATCACGGGTTCGAATCTCGTGATTTTGGACCCCTGATATTGGTGGTGACTGGCTGGTGACGGCTTACAAGCCAGAAATGGGCATGCTGCTCTTCCTATGCTTTGTCATTTTCATTCCACAGACGCAACGGTATGTTTACGATTTTTTTCTGACGATAATTTTTGCACTTATTGACCGACGTTTTTGACTACAGCCGGTATATACCACATAGTAAGGCAATGCAGGGACCGCGAATTGCACACGAAGTAGATAATAGTAAATATACACTTTCGCTGCATCAATCGCACGCTCACCCCCACGCTGTCATGACCAAGGCAAGCAGACTCTCAGTCAGCCACTGCATCCAACCACCTGCTGGATCTAGTGCGAGGTCTGCGTCCAATTATCATTTAGCAGTCTGCAATGGCATGCCTTCTAGCACAGAGTTAAAGCTCCAAGAGCGTTAGGTGTTTCATAGGAATGGAAATGGACTAAGCTTCTATGCCTGCCGGTTATTTGACTTGTGCAAAAAATGGCCGCCGTTGCTGATACGCGCCTTCAAGGAAGCCACATAAACTACGAGGCGCTTAAATAAAAACATCACAATTTCACACTAAAGGCAATCCAAATAAAATGCCATGATTAAATGGTTGGGAACTGGCAAATAATAAGGTGCGAGTATGCAATTTAGAGATAATAATGACAACCTCTAAGACGCACAGATAAGGCTAAAACAAGTGTGCATCACGATCGACATGATCCCTGCAGTTGCTTATACGAACGTGCCTGATCTCGAGAAGTCTGATTAGGGTGCGTGTCAGATCTAGTATGTATGATGGTCAAATTCGGACCGAGAGAAAGGGTGCATTCCCAGTCCCATTGACGCAAGGTTTACTGCTGTTCTGACCACTTTGCCTTCGTCCATGACTACTGAACTGTCCACCAGAGGAACATGTTTATACTAGAAGAGCATTAACATTAATGGACTATTACATGCGATCTTAAATCCCCACTAGATGTTGTTAACAAGAATGGGCACGGGAATTTTGCGGGCAACATGTGGCGATGAGTTAACTT